TGACTCTGAACTCACTGGGTAGCAGAGGCTGGCCTCCGCCTCCTGAGTGCTAAGATGATAGGTGTGCACCACTCCCCCCAGTTTGGGCCGAGTTTCTTCCTGTCTGCTCCACCACTCTATCCCCCACAGCCCCAGTTACCACAGTGACCCGGCAAATCTCTCAGATATTCAAGGAATGAATTTCAGTCACATTTTTTTGGAATGACAACAGGAATATGGCTCCATGAGAGTCCTGAGAATTCAAAAGGATGAGAACATACAAAAAAATGCTTTGTTATAAACCACACAATCTATGGAGGCACCTTAAGACCACAATGTTAAGTGAAGTAAATTAGACACATAGTGTAAATATTGCATGGTTTCTCTTATATGAGAAACCCAAAATATAAATGAAGGGCAAAATAAAAGATCGCAGGAAATAGGAGATCAATCTTTTATAAGCGCGGAGGGGGCCAAGAGATGGAGGGAGGAGCGGGCTGTGAGGGAAGAGTGAAGCTGTGCTATGCACCGACTCCCCTGGAGAACGCAATCATCATGTTTTACAAACATGATCTCATAAAAACTAGAAATTGAAAAAAATCCCCACATGATCTCACTGTTTCATATCCTCCAGTACTCTCCCTCACTACAGGGTCCAGTCCACTCTCCTGAGGCTTTGGCCTATGGGGCCCTGACGACTGGACCTGGGGCCTCTAGGCTCGCTTCTCGTCACTCCTGCCTGGCTTGGAACCCCACACTCCAGACACCTGCGCTGGTTCTTTGAAGGCTGGACTGCTCTGTGCCTAGCCCTCTGCGGGAAACAGCGACCTCCCCCTCGCTCACTTGGTGAATCCCTGCTCAGCATCAAAATCTGCCCTACCAGCTCCTCCACACAGCGCTTCCCGTCCTCTCAATCAGAAATGACCTTCCTCTTCAGTGCCTCAAATGCATGCCATACACCTCCTGAACGGCACCCTGTACTGGTCTTACCTAAAGCCCAAGATGTCTTCTGCTTCACACCCAGATACGGGTCCTCAACTATTTCTGGTACTAGAAAGTCTCCCGAATGAATGAAAAACCAAATGAACGAGAAAAACAAAGATGTTTTTCTAAATCAGGCTGAGGGTCTGGAACATCCTTACTGAAGTGGATGCTTAACAATTTATGCCAGGTGCACAAGCATTTCTTTATTTCTGAAGTCTTTTAAAAATGTGAGAATTACGAATGTGAGGTTTGAACACAATTCTGCCAAGTTTCAGGAGACTGGCTTAGAGCCTGCTTTACAACTAATGATAATAGCCAATATTTACTGAGCACTTCCTTTCTGTCATGCAAAGCACATTCTTTATATAAGGCTCTATAAGGATAAGGACAACTACTCTGAGATACAGATTTGACTGTTTGCCTTGTTTAAAATAAGAAAGTGTTTCAAAGAGGTTAAATAACTTGCCTAAAGTTATGAAATAAATGAGCTGTAATTCAAACTCAAGGATCTGCCTTCAGATGGTATACCTCCCATTCTAAGGTCTGTGAGGTAATAACAGATGTAGGTATATAAATATGTATAAACATACACATATGATATAAATACCCCATTTGAATTCGGAAACTAAATTTACATCTGATTGATGCCTGGGTTTAAAAATGACTTGGATCTTTTATTATTATTTTTTTTTTGTGCTCCTAGGGATTGAACCCAGGGTCTTTGCATTTAGCTATGTTCTCAGCCTTTTTTTAATTTTTTATTTTGAGACAGGGTCTCACTAAAGTGTTAAGTTGCTCAGGCTGGGTTTAGGCCAACATACTGCCTAAGACTTGGAATTTAATACCAACCATACTATTTTAAAAACTAAGACTGGGCATGGTGGTACACACCTGCAACACAGTACTTGGGAGGCTGAGGCAGGAAGACTGCCTTGACTTTAAGGCAGCCTGGGCTACACCATGAGGTCAAGACCAGCCTGAACTACAAAGTGAGACCCTGTTTCAAAAACCAAAAGCAAAATGACAACCAAACCCAAAACCAAAACCTGAGGAAAACTATGTTTCAATCAATCAGTTAATAACAAATCAATTTAATGAGGGTCTGCTATGTGCTTAGCTGGGTGACAAAGAATCTAAGACATGGTTCATTCTTTTAATGGCTTACAAAGCAAAATTATAATTATTTTGAAAACATACAGAAATCCACACAACCAAATAAATTTTCTCCTTATTTGGTGATATACTTGTCTACTGCTGAAACTGCTTTTGAAAACAATTTATAACTGGGCTGGGGATTTAGCTCAGTGGAACAGCGCCTGCCTGGCAAGCGCAAGGTCATGAGTTCAATTCCCGGTACTGGAAAAAAAACAAAAAGAAAACAATTTATGAAACACACAAGAGCAAATCTGACTATTTTAATGTCACGGTTTATTTTTATGTCAAAGAGTGCTATCCACCTTAATCATCATTTTATTTGACATCTGGTTCGTTCTAACAATCCAGTCCTTTCTCAGGAGGAAACTTTGTGATTACTGTTTGTGTGGATGTGTTACACGAACACACAACTTCATGTAGGTAAGATACAGACATACACAGATATGTGGTCTATGGTTCAGGAGGCCAATTCTCAAAGGTCTGGACAAAACCAGTGCTGTCTAACAGGAGTAAAATATAAATAATAAATATCAGTTGATATTTTCTAGTAGACAATTTTTTTCCTTTACCAATTATGTTACTTTTATGTACCACTTTGTTTTCTGTAATGTCACTAACAACTTTTCAAATCTCTCCATTTGTTAAATTCACATATTTTTATAATAGTTTGATTTTTCTTTTTTATAATTTTCCATTCTAAATAGTCACATTTTAAAAAGTAAAAGAAACAGATGAAAGTAATTTTAAATGTACATTTTACATTTTAACCTGATGTCAAACATACTACTGCCTACCGTTCCAAATGTATTCAATACAAATTTTACTGGAGCAATTTTACATTTCTTTCTCATGCAGAATTTTTGAAATCTGGTGTATTTTACTTCTCGGTCTGGACCACAGCCAAGTGCCACATGTGATTGGTCAGACAGTGCAGAACGACACATTAGGGCTACAGCCATCATTCCAGAATAAGAGGGCCCATTTTCACCATGGGCACTTTACATCTAACTCTGCAAAGTAAGGATATTCTGAGGAGTGGCACATGCCTTCAAGTAACAAAAGATAGCTATAATCACATTTATTTTTATGTATTTTTTTGAGACAGGGTCTTGCTACGCAGTTCAGGCTGGCCTTGAGCTCACTTTGTAGCCCAGGCTGGCCTCGAACTCACAAAGATCCTCCTGCCTCAGCCTCCCAAGTGCTGGGATTACAGGGGTGAGCCACCACACCCCTATAATCACATTTAATTGGGGTACAAATTGTAAATAATGTTAAAAAACTGAAGGAAAGAATGACTGAAAAAAGCCAAAGTCATCTTCACAGAGCCCAGTTTACTAGTAAAGGACAGAGGTTGGGCAAGAGAAAGATTTTAGAACACTCAAGGGTTAATCCTTTCAGACAAGGCATAATGATACTAAATGAGCCAAGAAAAGCTCAGATCAAATAAACTGATGATTACAGTTAACCACATGACTCTGTTAAGATCCCTGAGGATGGATCTGTAAGCAGTGCCTTTAAATACATAAGCAGAGGGGCTGGGATTTGGAGGCTGAGGATTGAGCTCAGCGGCACAGCGCCTGCCTGGCAAGTGCAAGGTCATGAGTTCGATTCCTGGTACCAGGAACCCGCCCCCCCCCAAAAAAAAAATTACAAATACATAAGCAGGTAAATGCTGTATTATAAAGCTGTGTGAAATTTGGAACTGAAATACACAGATGGTAGAAATCTAAAACAACTTATTTGATAACATGATTTATAATCTCTTTATAAAATTTCTGGATCTCAGCTGATTCAAGTGTAAACTAAAGTGGATGCAATACTGAGGTTTCTTATGGCTAGGGTGGCTTATAATTCATTGTGCAAACCTGGACACTTGCAAGAATAAAAGGGGTACACTATAATTATGCCAAGACAAATGACATAAACTGTGTCTGTTTTATAGCTATAAAACTCTATGATCCTATACCACTGAATCTGTACACAGCTATACATACAAGGGATGTAGAACAGAGGAAAATCCAGCGTGTTCGTCCTACCTTTGTATGGCCACAGGAGTTTTGTACATCTATCTGGATGAGCTGCAACCCCCACCCACACCCCCCTGCAAAGCACTGTAAATTGGTTTGAATTTGAAACAGGGTTCCATATGGACAGAGCTGGACCTTGACAGCCTGAATGTATTTACCGAAGACAACAAATCATTGACAGACTCAGTGTAACAGAGGAGAGGCCTGGCCTGCTAGCACTCAGAATTCGACTGTAATCGTAGCCTCCTTGAGACAGGCCTAATCAATTAGAAGAGGCTGATTTTAACCAGTTGCAGGCTCATTACTCTGCATTCCAGTTTGTGTTGATGAAAATCAATTTCAGTCTGTGGCCTGGAACTCATGTAGAGCACTTCCCGCAGCCCCTTATGTAAACACATCAAAAAATTTTATTTGGAGTTGCCCTTCTCCCTTAAAAAAAAAAAAAAACAAACCACTTCATGAATTGTGATTAAAATACATCAACTGTATGTGGTTATCTCCTCAGGAGGAACAGAGCGAACAGTCACCAAAAAGGAAGACCTTCCGAAGAAAATGCACAAACTAGGAAAAAGCCAAGGTCTCGGAGACACAGAGGGTTTCTGAGTAGAGTTCACACTCTTCCCCGGATGATCAAAGGGAAAATATTCCAAGGAAACCTTCCAAGTAAACAAGGACCAGCTTCCTCGTGGAGTTTCTAGGGAGGAGCCAGCCATACGGCACTGCTGAGCTCTGACGCGCGGGTCATCTTACCACCGGGGACCAGGGTGAGCGCGGGGAGTGCAGCTGCTCAAAACCCCACCCGTACCTCAAAGCCTACCACCTTTATCCAAAATAGGATTTAACTATGAATCCTACCTGGCTGGTTGCCCTTTGTGGGTTGGTCGAGGCAGTAAGTCAACAGGAAGAGAATATCAATATACACAGCTCTGGTCACCAAACATGGATTTTGCCTAGAAAGATAAAGAACGGAATATGAACTGATGTCTTCTCTCCCAGGGCCTGGATCACAGGAAGAAAATGGGTTTTTCACCAGATGATGAGGCTCAGGCACAGCCTAAGTTCAGCAACTCAGCGGAATGCATCTAGCGGAAGCTAGGGTTATATGCGGGCTCACAGATCAACCCAACGCTGTTTCCAAATCAACAGAAAACAAGTAAAACCCAAGGACCCAAGCTAGTTTATTGAAAATACAGTGTGTTGTGAGTGAGAGACAACTTTCTTCTGGGCAGAAATTTTCTGGGAAAGACAATCACTTGGCTTTGAAAATCACGGATTCAGTACTTTGGAGAAGAACGACACCCATATGTGAAAAATAGTATCCACAGACTTAAGACAGGTGCCGAGATCCTTTTCCCAATAAATAGAACTGTTTTCTTCCAATAAATAGCTTGTTTTGCTTTCTGAACATGGTAGAAACAGTAAGTAGCCCAGATATGGAGGTCTAGATACAAAAGGAAAAGCAAGACTTTCTTTGACTGCTGTGTTTCATGGCTCTATCTGTCCCCTTTGGACAGAATTCAGATTAAGACACCTTGCGGCCGACAACACTGCGGTGGTAATGTATCTGCACAATAGTTTAGGGCATATGGATGTGTACCAGTGTACGTGCTCAGCAACAGAATTTCAGTTTTCCCACAATCTGGCCACCTCAATGCACTACTAAACTCTTTAATCTTTCTCCAAAAGAATAAGCAGAAAACAATTTTTTAATTTAATTTAATTT